CGTGGGCCCGCGGGGGGACGCGCTCAGCTGGGCGTTTAGCTCTGTGGTCCCGTACCGGCAGGACCTGCCCGCTGTGATGGACGGCGGTGAAATGATGGGGGCAAGCCGCCCGGCCAGGCCAGACTTTGTTCCGTCGCGGGTCATAATTTGAATTTGAATCCGCTCCCGGGGGCTCCCGATCCGATGAAGCCGGTTGTATTTTTTTAATCAAATTCTTTGGGTATGAAGGAAGACGGGTCCAGTTAGATTGCCGGCAAGAGGCAGGCAGTGTGAGGGGCAGAGCAGAGTCGTGGGACGACCACGAGCAGTCACTTCTGTTGACGGGTCTCTGCCTGCGGTTGTTTCTGGAAAAGCTCGCGAGCACCGAGCGCTTGACTCTCGTGACCGTGTCATTCCCATCAACGTTTCGCTTCGCATCATACCTACCTCTCGGCACCGAAAATAAATCATAGATTGACTGCCTCTCGTCTCACTGCCATTGCTGCGGTTGGCGCCGCCACCGTGTGATCCTGGAGGGGAAGGGGGAGAGTCCCGGAACACATGAATGCAGCGCTCCGTCATCTCGCGTGAGCGAGAGGAGGCTGAGCTGCAGCAGGAGCAGGATAATACACTGCATCTCAACGCAACAAAAAACGAACAGCGGCGGCGGCGCTCCAGAGAGGAGCAGTGCGAAGCGCAGCCAGTGGCACCGTGCGCGAGGAGAAAAGGGAAGAGAGGGGAGTTATGTGCAGAGCTGAGCGCGTCCGTCCTGGAGAGTGCAAGCGACCAGCCTCCGCTCTGGAGAACGGCGAAGTGGAAAGGCGTGCCTGTCGGCCGGCCGGCTGGCCACCTGGGCGTCTAGCCCGGCCCCGGCCCGGTAAATACTTGGCGCAAATTGCTTGAAGTTTCTCAGCCATGCCCCCCCCCCCCCCCAAGCGTGCGGAGGGTGTAGCTGCGTCCAGATAGACGTGGGTGTCTTGGGTGCCCGGGCCGCGCTGGGGTGTCTGCGTCAGCTAGTATGAGAAACACTGACATTCGGACCTATTCTGACCCACACAGCCATCATGGCGCACTATTTTTTTACATACTTTACTAGTAGACGCCAAGCCCCTAGACACATTGGATACCCACGTATTTGGACGCAGCTGAAGCCCTCGCGCGGGCGTCGACTCGCCTCGCCCCGCTGCTGGCGCAACACGCCATTCGCCTGATTTATGCAGGGAAGTCCCCGCCGGCAGCCGGAGGGCCTCGCAGGCGCGCGGCTAGGACAAACAGACTCCGGATTTGGAGGTTTCCCCGGCGGCGGCGTATGCGTCCGGGCCGTCCGGGCTGAGGAGGTGCTTAACATGCACATCAGACTCGGGGGCGTGGCGGGGGAGGGGGCCGGCGGGGTAGAAGACAAGGTTGTTGTGCGCCTCGAGGGCCCGGGTGGCAGCAGCAGCCTATAAGCACAGGCCCGCGGGCAGCACAACGCGTACTGTAGCGGTGTAGCGGTGTGTTTAGCCAGGGCAGTGGCTAGGGAGTGTGGTTGGTGCAAGATCGCCTCTCCCGACCTGCATCTCCTTCGCGCACTCCTGCCAACTCCGTCAAGGGGCGTTCTCTGCCGCACCCCGAGGCTGCTGCTGTTGTTGCTGCTGCTGCTGCTGCTCTGCTTAGACGGCAGAGTTTGCAATCGGTCGGGTAGAGAATCTGCGCTCACCCGACGCTCGCAGCGTAAGAGTGAGACAGCACTCAGAAGCCAGCAGCTGTCTCTGTCTCTCACGTCACACTCGGCGTCCGTCGATGAAGACGAGTCTGGCTCGCTCGGCACGCCCAGCCACACTAGGCGTCACCTGTCCCCGCAACCTCACCTCTCGCCCTACTGGTCCAGCCGAGCGGGGGTCTGCGTGCGAAGAGCGTGCGGAAGCTCGGCTAAGGGTCGGTGATTCGGAGGCTGCCCGGCTTACCCGACTTGCCCGACAGAGTCTCCGTCGGGCCGGGTCGGGTCGGGTACAGACGCCGGCGAGCATCGGGTAAGCGAAAAGACGTTTAACCGACCGATTGCAAACTCTATTAGACGGGCGCGGTCGCGAAGGACGAGATGATGCTGCGCCGGGACGAGGCGTCACCACCAAACAGGCGGAACTAGAACAGTCCCGGAACGGATTCCCTTCCCAGCCCCACCCACCACCGCTCGATCCCGGCGACCGCGAGCGACAACAGATTTGCATTTTATAGGAAAAAGTGTCTGCCGACGGCGGCGGCTATTTTCTTTTCTTTTTCTTCTGCGCCCACGCGATCGCCCCGTGCCGTGCCGTGCGGGCTGCGATTTACCTCACGATCCCGCGTGATCCGGGTGTTTTCTAATGCAAATCCAATCAGTCCCTGATTGGTGCGTCGTGGCGTGGCGTGGCCGGGGCTGGCCGTTAGCAGCAGCCTCAGAGTGGGTCGGCCCGGCAACCTGAGAGTGAGCCGCGGTTGTTGGGGTGGGGAGGGGGGGGGGCAGCGGATGAGTTTATCGGGGTCAGAAGAACGCTTTTGTTCGCCGCCCCTCAGCCTGCGGAGCCCGGGGTAGGCCGCCCGCCGCAGCCGTGGGTAGGCCGCCCGCCGCAGCCGTGGGTAGGCCGCCCGCCCTGCCGCCGTGCGCGGCGTGCTGGGATGTTGCCTACCTCCCCGGCGCTCCGCTCCCGCGACAGACAGGATGCGGACGAGACGTGCGCGCGCGGGCCGGGCCGGGCAGGTGAATGACGCGTTGTGCAGCGTTGCCAACTGCACACGCGGTCCAAATGGTCTTCCCCGCCCGCCCGCCGCCGTCTCCTGCGGCCATGCGCCGCGCGCGCCCCGCCGAAGTATGGCCTGGGAAAATTGCGTAGCGCGATCGGTTTGGCAACAGAGTCGGTCGGAGTAAAATCGGAAATCGGCCCCACGACGCCGCCGACGCCCTCCTTGCAAGATCGGCGCGGTGCGGGCCGTGGAGCATGTGATGCACGTGTCCTCGCGTTGGTCTCGCGACCCTGCGCCGCGCCGGGAGAAAGTGAGGGGGGAGGGGAGGGGTTGGCGGGGGAACGCGCCGCCCTGCACTGCTCTGCACTGCACCGGGGCCGGGGGAGGGTGGTGGAGGGGAGGCGCGGGTGGGCGCGGTGCCGCCGCTGGCTGACGCGCGCCTTTAGTATTGCGGCGATGTGTCTCGCAACCTTGCAGCCTTCTCTATTTTCTATCCGTTTTGCTGTGGTGATGCATATCGCGCGCGCGCCTGTCATTCACTTGCATATCTCTGCTCTGACAGACAGCCAAAGGCCAGGTGTGTGTGGAAAGGGGGGAAAAAGTGGGGGAAGCGCCAAAAAAACTTATAAAAAAATGAGGCCGCGAGTGGGGGGCGCCACTACTGCTGCAGCTGCTGCTAGAGAGGATTGCCCTCTAAATTTAGAGGGAATCCCGTCCTGGACCCACCACATGCGCCTGCCGAACGCCGGGCGGTGTTGGTGGTGTTTACCTCAGAGCGGCCTGGCGTGGCGTGGCGCGGGGTGGCTTGGTGGCACCACCGAGGGGGTTGTCGGCGGGCAGGTGGCCTGGCCACGCGCCGCGGCCGCCACGCCCACCGCGCCCCGGTCCTACCCCATCTGCGGCGGGACGAGGGCCAGGAGGACGGCTCTAGGCTTGTACGGCGCCGGGACGGCGGCTTGGCTTGGCGGCCGCGAGTCACGGACGTCACACGACGGCGTCGGGCGCACGTTGCCGTCGTGCCAATAATTATCGCCCGAGGGGGGCTCGGCGGGCTCGGCGGCGTGGTGTCGGCAGCCGGCGCGCGTTATTCGCACGCCGAGGTCGGCAGCCGGTGGTCCGACACGGCCGCCAGTCGCTCTCGCGCCGCTGTCTGTGGTGCTCGCCGCGCCTCCTCACTCGTCACTGCCCCCAGAGACACGGCAACACCACGCTGACGGACGTCTTTTTATTATTTTTCGGCTGAACCAGCGGGATTGTTTTGTCGCAACGCTGCAGCCTGACCAGCGCGCCGACCGCGGCCCCGGGGGGCCGCACGGCACCGAGTGGCGGCCGCCGGCGCTCGCGCCCAGCCCAGGACGGCGACGACGCGACCCTCTCCTGGCGTTCGCGTCCACGTCCACCCCGCTCAGCCCGCGGCAGTAAGCTGTCAACCTGTCATGTCGACGAGTTTGGGAGGGGCGGGGGCGGCGCGCCCGGGCCATCAGTCAGGTCTGATCTCGCGTGTCGCGTCGCTGTCGTCTGCTACGCGCCGCTGACGACGACGCCGGGCCGCTGTTGTCGTCTGCTATCATGTCTTCTGCTAGGCGAGGCGGTCCTCGTCGATTGCCTGCTTGTCATCTCTGGGCGTCGCGGCGCGTTCGGCCCTGGCACCGGCTGGCGCACCTCACGCCCCCCCCCCCCCCCCGCTCGTCTTTACGGCCCGTCATTAGGTGTTTTTGTTGTCGAAAGTGGGGCGGCTCACTCGCACATGCCTGCGAGGCGAGTGCCCCGCCCTGCCCCGCTCTGCCCCGCCCCGCCCCTTGGGTGTCTTCTTCTCTTGGCCGCCCGGCCCAGCCCCGGCTCGCTTGGTCTTGCTTCTTGCTCCGGTGCTTGACGGAGCCCGTCCCCTCGCCTCACACCATTGATCGACTTTCTTGGTTCGCGTACTCGCGTGTTGCACAGCGGCCCACCGGTGTCACTTGCAGCCTCTCGCTGACACATTGAGTGAGTCCACGGAGTAAAAGCAGACAGTACATACTTTTACTTCGAGGTGAGCTGGCGAGGCGAGCACCAACTGTGCACCCCGTCGGCATCGCACTGCTCACAGCGCTCATCGCGCTCGTAGACTGCGACTGCGTGCGGCGCGAGTTGAGGAAAGCCATCGTTCGAGGTTCGCGCGCACAGCCGCGCAGCGCCGCCACCGCCCCTCGCCTCGCGCGGTCTAAATTCGTCTCCTTTTGCCGCCGTTTTCCCGCGGCTGGTGCGATTGGGACCGAGCCGGTCGCGGCGTGGCGAGGCGTGGCGTGGCTGAGCGCGTATGGCTTCTGATGGCTTCAGCCCGCGCCTCGTCTCCTCGCGCGCCAAACCTTGGCCCCTGCGCGGGCGGCCGCGGCCCAGTGCCAGTGCCACTGTCCGTCCGGGCTGCGACCAGCATGGTGCCTTCGACGATCACGACGCCGCTCAGGAGGTCGCCGCGGCGGACCCTCGCCAGGAGGGAGGCTCAGTCTCCCAGTGAGGATCGCGACGACGGCCCCGGACACACCCCTTACCCGACAGGGCGGCCGCTTGTGCCGCCCTCGCCCTCACCCTCGCCGATGGACCGCCAGTAAGCTCTCGTCAGGATCGGGAGGGAACTCTAAAGCTAAAAGCGCAACGCCCGTCCTTAGACTGCCACTGGAGAGTGGGAGGGAGAGGGCACTGACTTGCGCCGCGCTCTGACCCTCTTCCCGCCACTTTGGCGCGGCTTGAATGATGCTCGGTGGAGAAGGGGTAGGTCATTGGTCACGGAGGGCAGGGCACCTACCTCCTCTCTCCCCCGTGTTCAAAGTGCAGTACCTGCAAAACTATCTGGAAGACACATTAAATTTTTTATACACAAGTGTATCAGGGGAAAAATATTGATTACTTGAATTTGTTTGAAAGTGAATATATTGTTGACCTGGCAGTAGTTTTATTTTCGTCAATGACATTGCTTTGCCTCTTTTCTTATGTCACATTAATAGCGTTTAGTTGCATGCTGTTGTTTTTTGTTTTTTGCAGTGTTTTCCCCAAAACGGACTATTCCTATTCTCGAATGTCAAGTTTCCACCGTGAGATCTCACCTGGGGTGCCGACATTGCCAAATATGTCACGACCTGGTCTCCATACTGAAATTCATCACCAAAACATAGGTAAATTGCTTTAGCTTGTTGTAGTTTATGCCATAAATTAGAATAATGTACATACTTT